ATCTACCAAAAACTCATACTGCCGTCAGCAGGGTGCTGCATCAAGGCTCATCCTACCCTCCCCAGCATAATGGTCCGAGTGAGGTGGGAGTCGCAGAGGGGGCAAGAGAGATCTGCAGGCTCACTTGGAGTCCCAAGGTTTCATTTTTACTCCGGATAACCAACAGCAGAGAAAACTTCCTGTGTGCTCCACATGCTAGAGGGCTCCGGGAGAAACTGCCAATTAGCAATTTGTTTCACAGCGAACTTCTTTCCCTTGGCATTAACTGATATCGTACAAACCTTGCGGCCGCATCTGTGCCAGCCGCTAGCCCTAGGTCCTCCAGTGACAGACCCAAGCGCCAGCCCTGCCACTCAGAGCTACAGGACCTCCTCCAACACTGAGCACTGCGCTTCCTGGGATACAGCTCATAACCCAGGAAGACCATGAGCTGCAGTCCCAAAGATCAATTTCAAATGTCCTATCCGCCCGGAGAACCTGTCCCACCCTGACAAATTCTCTAACCTGGGACTTCAGTTTCTCTTATGACAGTGTGTTTGTTCTGTGGCAGCAAGAATGAAGCAGACACCAGTCACTACAGAAGTTACTCGCTAATTCGGCCAACAATGAACTTCTGAGAGAGAGGTTCCCTTCCTGGAGAGTCTGCTCCGTGCTAAAGCCATGGTGAAAGGGAACAAGGTCCGTGGCGCTGCAAAGAACCGCGTGCTGCCACTCACTGGGACAAACGGGTGTTCTCCTTACAGGCCCTCGGGCTGTCAAGCCGGACTACCCGCCAGGGAACCCAAAGCGAAGATCCAGATTCCGGAGAAGGCATCCAAATCCCAGGCAGTGGACCGTAGAAGCCTAGTACCTTGGGAAAGCAGAGGTAAAGTCCTCAGCTGGCTTCCCGAGGTGACCGGCTTGGGGATGGCTTTCTACTGCCAGTCCAAAACGTTTAGGCCTCTGTCCTCCCCAGGCCACGGCTTCAGAAGGTGGAGTATTTGGAGCTTCTTCGCAGTCGGTGGTCCCCAACAGCCTTGGCCCTAAAGATTCGCGTTACTTTGGGCTCACTCAGGTGGACAGAAGTGGGCAAAGGGCCTCGCATTGGATTGCTTCTGCCTCCGAGGGAGTCCTCGGACCTCAGGCGCTCCGGGTGCAGGGAGCCTCTGCTCATTTGGATTTCACACTCCATCCTCCTCCCAATTCCAATCTCACAGACACTGAAGACATTTCCACATTTCCACAAGAGACTCCTCCGGAGCCCTCTCTCTCTCTCTCTCTCTCTCTCTCTCTCTCTCTCTCTCTCTCTCTCTCTCTCTCTCTCTCTCTCTCTCTGTGTGTGTGTGTGTGTGTGTGTATAGCGGCATTAGCCTTGACACCAGGATGTACCAGGCAGAGGTCACTACCTGGTTAACAACTCTTACCCCTAAACTCTTTCCTTTCTCCCCATCACCAGGATGTGGCCAGGAGTAAGTCCAGCCATGAAGGCTAATTTGCAGCAGGCAGAGAAAAATGGAAAGGCTGAGTTGGGCCAGCCCAGACCCATTGCTCCTTGATGGAAGTTCACCCATTTCAGACTCTCCTAGTTCTGGCAAGGGCCCTGGGCAGGCTTTTCAATAAAAGCCTTGGTGTATCTTTTCAGAGTTCCTGCATACTCTGAGAGCTGCTGAGCAGGTAGGGTCATGAAGGCTTCCCTGATTCTTTACTCTGCCATGGGCTCTGGTTTTCTCCCAGAAGCCCAGTGTACCCCCCCACTCCCATCTTTCTGGCTCTGCTTACCATTTCCTGGCTGTAGATACCTGGACCACCACCTACTCCCTAGACAGAGATGTTCCCTTAAGATGCCTTTCAGAAGATTCTGATGCAAGTACTTCAGAAAGTAGGCGGGGAGGGCTTACCGGCCCTTCTGAACCCCCTGAGGTTTACTTTTAACCCCCAAAGCAGAGTTGCCCCTCCAGTCTTGTCAGCTGCCTCTAATGACTGGATCCTGCTGCCTTCAGCACTACAGGGCTACGTGGGTATATTGCCTGCTTAGGAACAAATTGAAGGGCATCCTTTAGCAGACTGTCAGTGGAGCAGGAAGGGATACTTATGTTCCCAGGTCCCAGGGCAAAATTCCTTGGCTGCTGGGGCGAGGTGGGTTATAGGAAGCAGATGGAAGAAGTCCCTAAGAATATTGTTCACAGAGCCTGACAAGACTGGTTGTTTTTACAAGTCACTATCTATATTTTATGTCCAGTTCTCATGCTCCGAAGGAAGCAATGGCTGGGAGTCGCTTATACAGCTTGATGACGTGGATTTCTGCATCGTTTTCTCACAGTGTTTGAAGACATATTTTCCAGGATAGCTGATAGAGGAAGAACGAAAGAAGGTAGCCCCAGCAAGCCGAGGTGCTCTGAAACAGCTTTGCAGAAGATAGCCTTAGAACTGCCCCCTGCCTCTTACTGGCACTCAGGAGCTTAGGACAGGGATCCACCCTGACAGACACTAGAGATGGTGCCTCTGTTAGGATCCCTGATCAACTGCCATATCTAGGCTGGGATCAACTCTTTTTCTGGGACCAAGTAGCTGGGTACAGAGGCCTTTTCTGTAAGCCCTTCTACAAATCATTTCCCTGACTTAAGCAGTTCACCTTGCAGGGGTGGTAGTGGGCAGGGGCAGCAGAAGACAGTTATGTTTCTGTTGTGGGGAAAGCATGGTGTATATGTGTGTTGTGTGTTCAAGTTCACAATGCTAGACAGGTCCACTCTGTAGTACCTTACACATAGATTAACGGGGGAGCATGCTTGTGTGACAGTACTTTGGGAGCCTGTGTGTTTGCTTCTGTATTTGAGTGGAGGTATTAACGCGGACTTGACAGCCTATTTCCCTCAGAGATAGCTTTTGGTGCTATTCAAAATGAATGGAATATAGTAGCTTCACAACAGTTGTGACCGGAATCAATTAAACGGGTGTTCTCTTTGCCATGTGATACTTAACAGGCTGCTTTTCTACAAACCTGAGACTAGGGATGACTTGGAAGATACAGGCTACTGAATTTTCTTTCTCCAGCAAAGTAATTGTGCAAAAGTGTGGGCTATGACATCACTAAGCAGTCTGGCCAAGTGGGCTGACATAGGCAGCTCGGTTTGGAATTCTCCAGACAGACTTTCAGGCAATAATAGCTGTTAGTTCTGCACACCTCAAGTCAGAGGAAGTTGGGTTGTTCAGTCTGAACCAGAGCAAACTAGTTCCAGGGAGCGCTTGAGGCGTGTTCTGGAAGCCAGGAAGCCAAGGGTCCAAGGATACTCCTGGGGTTGGGATTTCTCTTCAGATTAGAAGTTGGAGGGCTGGTCCCAAGTGGGGGAATCCAGCCTCCAGGAGTCTTCCTAGGCTTGTATATCCCCCTTGGACTCCAGGTGGGCACAACTGTACAGCCTTGAGAACTGGTTAGTTTATACAACTCTCTCAGTCATGGGTGAAGAAATTCTCGATAAAAATTTTGAGAGAAGAATCTTTCTGAGTTTATGGTTAGAATAGAAAGTGGTGTTTTTATCAGAAAGGAAAAGTCCTCCTAAACCCCAAAGCTGCCTCCTCCCCTCCATCCCTTCCGGCCCAGGGCCGCTACTCTTGAAATTCTGCTCAGTAGTTACTGCTACTGTGAATCAATACTGAGAAGCGTTAACTTTCCCCTTACTGAGTCTTGCCTGATTTGGATTTGTCTGGACTGGCCTGAGCTTGTTGGACAAAAGGGGGCTAAAACTCCAGGCCGAAAACAATACTGTAGACTTATTTACAGCTAGAGCAGCGATCTCAGGGCACCACACTGAGGAGTCCCTGGGCTGCCGTGGGAGTCAGTGCATCCACTTGGTAGAATGTCCACTCTCTTTCTCCTCCATTGTATCTGATGTAGGTTGAGGGACTCAGAGTCCTTTCTGCCACCGTTAGCCTCTGGGAAACTAGGTCTCAGCCACTGCTACTGGTCTAGTGACTTTGCCCACAGTATCGTTTCCAGTTCTAGTGACTTCGACCATACTGAGTAGTAGTTATTCCGACCCAAAACGTTCCAATTTCCCTCCCAGGGCCCAAAACTCCAAACTCATTTAGTACCTCTGCACGCACGCTTTCTCACCTTCTACAAGTCCGGAGGTGGATAGGTAGGTGGGTAGTCAGGCGCGGGGGATGGGGGTGGGGCTCTCCGGGAGGTGGCTACGGGGCAAGTAGATATCTGGTCCTTGTTTCTGCAGAGCGCTCTGCCAAGAAAAGGGTCTGAGGTCTCACGGGGAGGAGGTTTCAGAGTTTTCAGTCTCATGCCTTCTCCTTGCCAGAGATACACTGAGGGAAGGTTGCTCCAGGTTTCCGGTACTCTGCCAGCGTATCATTACCCAGGCCTGCCTACCCGGAGTATCCAGTCCTTGTAGGGAAATCAGACACCGGTACACGCGAAGCCACCGGGCCTCGGGGCATATATCCATATATTTATGATTTCTAATTTTATTATAAAATAAAAGCAGAAATATCTCCCGATGAACATTCACATGAGGGCGTAAAAAGGAACAGGCAAGTCTACGGCTGCGGAGGCACTCTGGGCTGGGAGCACGGAGGCCACAGTCCCAGGAGGAGGAGAACCAGCGAGGTGGGGAGGAGGGAGGAAGGAAAGAGAGGAAGAGAGGGAGAGAGGGAGAGAGGGAAGAGAGGGAGAGAGAGAGAGAGAGAGAGAGAGAGAGAGAGAGAGAGAGAGAGAGAGAGAATATGAATATTCAGGTGCTTCTGGGGCGAAGCCTTTCTTGCTCATTTATTAGTCAGAAGCTGGCACCTTAGGCTCGCACTGAGGAGGGAGATGCCTTTGAAGACCAAAGGCCCACAATGTCTACCTCTGTTCACATCATGCCGGACTCTTACCAAGTTAGAGAAAGGGATTCAAATAGATGACCAGAAGGAAGGAAGACTGAGGGTACGATGTGTGAAATCCGAGAGAGAGAGAGAGAGAGAGAGAGAGAGAGAGAGAGAGAGAGAGA